TCGTAGAAAGAAAGCTACCAAGCGATTTTAATCTCGTAGTTTAAGGGAAGACGGAGAGTGTATACACGTACGCCTCTGTGATCAGTTCTGAGACATATCACATACAGTCTTCAACCATTGGCTGAGAATTCTATATCGGTAACTGTAAGGTAGTTACATTATCGTTTAAGCTATAAAGTAATTACTTACTTACTTACGCCTGTTATTCCCAATGGAATATAGGCCGCCGACCAGCATTCTCCAACCCACTCTATTCTGGGTCTTTCTTTCCAGTTCTATCCAATTGTTGTTCATTTTTCTCATATCTGTCTCTATTTGGTTTTCCTCTTTTCTTTTGACTTTGAGGATTTCAACTAAGTGCTTACCTTGTGACGCAATTGCATGCTTTCCTCAATATATCTTCACCTAGAGCCCCCCTCTTGAGCTACTATCGGTTCAAAGCCCAGATAAAGGAGGATGGTTGGGCATAGAGTTAGAGACCTCAGAATTAACTAACAATAAATTCACAAGTATACCATGTAAACAATCTATACCGCCCCCAAATGCTCTGGTACGGCCGAGAGTGGGGAGAGTCCGCTCTGCCTCTCCAAATGCTCTCACATGGCCATGCGTATATAGCCTCTGACAGGGAAGTCCTACTCACTGCCTTCTCGTGGCGGGGGTGTTGTTTACGAAAATGAGAGGACGAAAAGCGAATGTCTGGCGCTTTAACCGGATCCCAAATCAATGGTGCACATGGGCTCCAGTATCCTGCGGGAACAACTAGCGTATGAACCAATCGTTGGTCACCGGCTACCATGGGACTGCATCTCCTCACGATGCTCCACTGCCTTGTGGATCAGACGTTCAGGTCAAAGGCTCGGGGTGTGGCCCACTAAGAGAACCACCTGCTTCGGTTTGGGCACCCTGGCAGTATCACAGCCATCACACAAATCAATTGAGATTTGTGTGGCGCATATGTATTTGGTGCCTCCCTGTACCTATACTTATGTGTTAAAATGAATGAATGAAACAATCTATACCGATTATCATTCATTTTATCTATCTAGTTTATATTCTTTTTCTGATATCATTATTAGTCTTTACCCGCATATATATAGAAAATACAATTTAAAGTAAAACAAACAAGCAATACAATTCATTTCAACTTTATTTTCATAGAATGTTTAGTTTATTGATTAGATATGGTTCTAAAAAAAAAGAAAAAAAAAAAAACAGAAAACGTTGTCATACAGAACCAAAAAAAAACAACCCCCAATTAAACATCCACAATTGGGTTCTATAGACATAACTTCATTAGTTATAATATGTATGTATGTATGTATGTACATACTTTAATAATTGGTATTCAGTAAATGTATTATTAAAATTTTACTGTCTAGGTTTTATTTTACATTTCATGAATTGATGATCAATTTTTCATTATTCTTACTTATATCTGTTACCCCCCCCTCCTCCATGGAACATACGCTACCGATGATCATTCTTCAATTCATTCTATCCTAGGTCTTTCTATTTAATTCTATTCAATTGTTATTCATTCTCATATTTATGTTGATTTCTTCATGTAATGTGTTCTTTGGTCTTTTTCTCCTTTCGTTTTAAGGATTCCAAGTGAGAGTTTGTATTATGACGCAATTGGATGCTTTCTTCAATATGTGTCCTATTCACTTCAAGTGTTTCTTTCTGATTTTGTCCTCCATTGGAATCTGGTTTATTCTATTCCTGTTTTGCTATCATAAGTTAATAAGAATCAAAGATTATGGAGTTTTGATCAGTTATTATTATTATTCCCTAACTAGAAACTTGTAAACAAAAGGGTGTAATTATATTTCCGAGCTGGTTTGGTTTTCTACTTAGTTGAGATGGAATGCCTTTGAAAATCAGAGAGCACTTCATAACTTTTGTCACAATATGGAACTTTTCAGCAGTGGCCATTTAAAGAACTCTACATTCAATCTATGATATGGTCATAGGTACCCACTGTTAAGGAATTCCATACTGTGACGAAACAATTATCCAGTACTCTTTGGTATTTAAATGCATTCCAACTGAAATCAGTCTAACCCACGTCAAATTAACACAAGTTTGTGTTAATTTAATGTTGGTTATCTATTTACTCTGAAGAAGTCAGTCAATCAGTCAGTTACAATGTAGGACCAGGCACATATGTGCATCGGTCAAAGTTGCCACACCTCATTAGCACAACAAGATGAACACCAAATTCATAGAAGTAGTGAATTCAATGGTGGTAATATATAAAAGGAAAGATTGCATATAAGGATATAGCACAGGAAGAAAGAATTAATTGGTAGAAAGAAAGATATCAAGTGATTTTACTCTCATAGTTTAAGGGAAGACAAAGAGTGTATACACCTACGCCATTCTGACCGATTCTGAACCATGTCACACACAGTCTCCAACCATTAGTTACGATAGTCATGCGGATCCCAACCAAGCAGTCTGAATCTACCAACATAGCTCACACCACAAGTTAGTGACTTCAACGACTGATGCCACATTTTGGTTTGTCCGCTCCTAACTTTCTTCAAAACATCTCCCAACACTAGTCAGTATTGCGCTTCGTGATGATTAGAGTTCAGATATACGTAACACGTGGCCCAACCATATCATGCGACGAAGATTCATAACCTCATCAACTGACTTACCATCATTCCCTAATACCCTGAGTCTAACCTCACTATTACTTACCCAGTGATCCTAGCAGATGCGAGTAATATTTTTAAGGCACCTGTGGTCAAATACTAGTAACTTACGAGTATCTTTTGCTCTTAATGACCACGTTTCGCAGCCGTAAAGTAGAACAGAACGAACTTCAGCGCAGTATACTCGTCCCTTCATTGATAGACGGATATCTCGCCTTCGACATAGGTGACGTAAGTTGGCAAAATTCGAACGAGCTTTTCGAATCCGTGCTGAGGTTTCGTCAGACACCAACGCATGAGGGTTGATTAGACTTCCAAGATAATTGAAGTTGTCAACGCGTTCGACTACTCCACTCCCTATCTTCAGTTCAGGTGGTGATGCAGACCAGTTCTGAAGCAACAACTTGCATTTAGAGGGTGAGAAGCTCATCTCAAACATCCTGGCATTGTTGCACAGTGCTACCAAAGGACTTCATTTTATCAGCGTCTTCACCAAACAGGACTATGTCATCTGCGTATTCTAAGAAGTGACTAACTTTAAGTCACGAAACGTCGGAAATATAGCTTTTCTTCTCATTGGGATATGGCAAAAGTATATTTAGTATTAACTGTATTCAGTGATCAGTTTATTTGAAACTATCAAGTCCAACCTTAGTAATAATACCAAATGTCGTTGTACGGCAGTGAGAAACTCTACTTGATCTAGCTTTCCTGTTATTCGATACTCGTCAGCCCTTACATTTCTCACAGCTCAATGATCATATCCCAAACTATGAAGTGAAGTAACTCGAATTAAAATCTTACTGAGATGATTAATTTCTACAAGATTTCAGATATATCTAGGCTCAGACCGACTATCAATAAACTTGTAACCTATGTATAGAGTTTCCTACCGATTACCATCAAACCACTTAAAGATATCAAATCATTCACAATTAATTGGTGATCAATATCATGTTTGTCACGTTCTTCTTTGTGCAGATCGAATGCTATCCATCTAGTTGCAATGTGGTCACTAGTCCAGATGACTGAACATTGTGTTCAATATTTTGAGATAAGATGGTGGTTGGAGATAGTCAACATGAAACCCTGGACCTAAGTTTTGTGCTGTTTGCCACTCGTCAGCGAATTGTACCTATAATCTTGAGGCGACCGATATTCCTTGACAGATTCGATCCCATGTCACCCAACTTCACAGTTACAGAGACGTTAGCACTGAGGTATTCAGGCCGTGACTGACCTCCTATAGAACTGTGATGTATTTAGAATTGATTAATCACTGGGTGGCAATCAATATCATGTATATCAGGTTGCCTTCATCAGTTGAGATGACTAGCACATGTGTTATGTATGCCCAACCACCGACTGCCCCGACGCGCGATGTTTTATAGTGTAAGGGTTGGTTGAAAGAAAGCTATGGGCGGCCAGATCAAAACATGGCACAAATCCATGAAGTCACTAACAAGTGGATTGAGCCATATTAGTAGTTGTAGACTACCTGGTTGTGGTACGCGAGACGATAGCAACCGACGTTTAGAGACTTTGAATGACACATGGCTGAAAATCGTTTGCAATGGCGCAGGTACATACACTCTTCGTGTTCTCCCGAATTCGAATCTCCTGAGTTCTACATGTCTCTTCTCTTTTTTCTCTTTCCAAATTTATTTCACTGGATGATGCTCCTTGAATAACATCTTCGAACTCTAATGTTTCTGATTAGTGCTTATACTCTTACTACCTCTACCACAATGTTATTTGAATGGACAATTGTATCTGTGTGCTAATGTTTGTATGGCAAGTTGAACTGATGTAGGTACGTACGAAGTTCTACGTTGTTACTGACTGACTGCGACTTCTGACATTTGTCTGAAAACTGTCCAATACTTTTTAATTTCTAGTGATTTTGCAGGTGAATAGCACTATAACTCAAATGTTTTGGTAATATATTAGAAATTTTCACAAAAGTGACCTCAACTAAACCACCGCTGATAATCTGGAAGCACTAGACGGCCGTTTCATCTTATTATAAAGCTCAACAATGCGTATCCATGACCTTGCGTCTAGGAGTGGAACTGAAGACCCTTAGTTGTTTCTCTGTTCTGTGATCTAAATAAAGGTTAGGAATTTGTATATAAGATTAAAGTTTCTAGATATTATTCTCGTGTGCATGATTGTGGATATATACAACTGAAGAGCTTCACAATAGGATGAAATGACTATCCAGTTCTTCCAGGTTTTCAATGATGATCTAACATCATTCGGTTTATTCTATAATTTTCATCCATTTCTTTTTCTTTTTCTTTTTTTTTTTACTTGTTAAATATTATATTATAGATTATGCATGTACGTGAAGCAACTGAATTAGATTTAATTCATGCAAAAAAAGAAGATTTAAATAGAACTATTCAATTATTTTATCAAAATTCAACTAAAATTCAACATCATATTTATGAAACTAATATCATAAATAATGATGATAATGATAATATTGATTTATATAATACAACTATTACATCATCAATAGTACCACCAACACCACCATCACAACAACAACAACAACAACCACAGCAACAACAACAACCACAGCAACCACAACAACAACATCAATCTTTATTAAAATTATCAAGTAAATCAAATCAAGATATTACTACTCTTATCAATAGTAATAATACTACTATTAATACTACTAATACTACTACTACTACTACTAATAATAATAATAATAATACAATACAATGGATGAATCATAATTTTCAATTAATGCGTTTTCATTTAGGTAATGTATTATGTGATATATGTCATAAAAATTGTTCTGATTTATTAAATCCACCAAAAGCATTAGAATGTTTACAATGTCGTATGCGTATACATTTTGATCATATTGATAAACATGAAAAATTTGTATCATGTCATAATGCTACTAATGTACGTTATATAAGAATGTCTAATTCAGCTATATGTAAATTATGGATTGAACAATTAATGTATTTACGTCAATATTTAAAAGAATTACAATATACAAATGAACAAACTAATATAGATATTGGAGATAATAATAATAATAATAATAATAATAATAATAATAATATTGTACATATGAATTCAAGTAAATCATTATATCGTAGTATACGTTCTGGTTCATTAGGTCCAACTTGTTTATCTAGTACTAGTACTAGTACATCAACAACAACAACAACTACTACGACATCGACGACGACGACAACGACGACGGGGATGACTCCAATGACAACATCAATGAATTCAACAAATCAAAAATCAGATTTTCAATATTCATTTCGTAAAAAATTAATAGAACCAATAAGAAATGTTACAAATAATATGACAACATCTAATGTTAGTCATTTATTATTATCATCATCATCATTATCATCATCAAAATATAATAAATCACCACGTTCATTATCACCATCTAATAATAATTATCAAAAATAAATAGTCTATTTAAATTGATCCACTTTCTTATTGTTGCTTTGTATATGTGTGTATGTATATGTGCGTGTGTGTGTGTGTGAGTGTGTGTGTGTTATTTCTTACAATCAATCAGTTGCCAACTATGATTATCATGATGATGATGATAATGATAATATTGTCTTCTGTATTGTTTCTATATTATTGTCTATGGTTAAAAAGAAAAGTTTTCTTTTTCTTTTTTCTACTTTTTATATTACATCATACATATGTACTATTTCTGTACATTTTTTATTTTTTAAAAAAAATTGTACAATCAGTCATGTCTTCTTTTTTTTTCTTTTCACACCCACCTACCCCCCTGAATTGTTTTACATTCACAAACCTTTATTCTGTGATCCCCTACTTTTTATTGACCGATCTATCTATATATATTTATGAGAATGAGATAGAAACTAATCTATTCACTTGTTGATTATCCACCCCAGTTATCATTATTTAATATATATATATATATATTCCTTGAGATTATCTCTCTTTCTCCCCTCCCCCTTTGTGTATGTATGTATGTGCGTGTGTGCATGTTTGTGAGTGGAAAAAGCACGAAGAAAAAAAATATATTTTTGATTCATAATTTGGCAGCTGATTGAGAATTGATTTTCTCTTCTCCCTCCCATCCCATCCCATCCCCTCTCTTTCTTTCTTTCTCTCTCTCTCTCTCTCTTTATACCACATTATTCTTTTCATTTTTCATTATTTGTACAAAAGAGAAAAGAAAGAAAATAAACAATCACTAGTATAGTTTATCGTTGTTATTTCTTTTTTTTTATTCTTTTCTTTCTGTTTTTCCTCTTCTCTCTTTTATTCTTTATATATTGAATATAATAATAATAATAATAGTAATTTGTAATCTATACATGTGAATAAGTAGTTTAGTGCTTGTTATCATTTCTGTTAGTACATTGTATATTATTAAATAATGTAAAACAATTATTAGTCACTATGCTGTTATTATTATTACTTTTGTTTGTGTGTGTGTGTGTTTGTATTGATTCTTGTTGTTACTATTCGATTGATTGATTGATTGGGTTGGGTTGGGTTGAGGGGAACCAATGAATAGATAAACATACCCGAATACACTTATTGTACATACATATACATATATGCATATATATTGATATTATGAAAGTTTATACATTATATTGCTTTGATAAATATTTTTACAGAATAACAATGAATTTTTTTTGTTTTGTTTTGTTTTGTTTTAATCATTATTGATTATTTGTTTGTTATTCTTGTTATATAACAGTTGAGATTCTTTGTCTGTACGACTAGAATGTTAATGGATGAATATTTAAATTAGATACCTTATTTAGTATCTATGCTATAGGACTTGAATGTAACTTATATCAAGAATATGTGATTAGACTTACTTACTTACTTACTAATTTAAGCTTGTTACTCCTTGTGAAGGAGGATAGGCCATCCATCAGCATTCTCCATACAAACTTATCTTGGGTAGTCTTTATCATATCTGCTTCTATTTCCCGATATAATGTGTTTTTTGGCCTACCTCCTTTCCGCTTTATTTCAGGATTCCCAGTAAGACCTTGCCTAGTGATGCAGTTTAATGCTTTCCGTAATATATATCCTATCCACTTTTCCTAATTTCCTCTTCAGTTGGAAGCTGGTTTGTTCTCTCCCACAGTAGGCTGTTGCTCATTGTATCCGGCCAATGGATATTGGGTATCTTGCGTAGACAACTATTTATAAATATTTGTACCTTCTTGATGATGGTTGTAGTAGTTCTTCATGTTTCAGCTTCGTATAGCAGAACTGTGTTGATGTTCGTATTGTAGGAATGTGGTCCTTGCTTTGCTAATCTTCACCTTGATGCCTTCATCTGATCCTCATTGTTCATCAATGATGCTTCCCAGGTAGGTAAAAAAATTCCACATCTTCTAGAGTTTTACCATCAATTGTGATTGGATTGATATTCTCTGTGTTGTATTTAAGGATAAAACTGACTAGAATCTAAATCATATTTTCATACCGAATGCCAACAACAATCACAATAGTAATAATAAAGATAAGAGAATATATAACTCATCTAGTAACTGTTTGTTTGACGTCCTGGTGATACGTACTATAGGACTGATCCCTAGAAGTACCAAAGTCAAAATTTTCAATACAAATATCAAGACAGTTCTACTGTATGAGACCGAAACCTGTAAAATCACAAAAGTCATTATCCAGAAGATACAGGTGTTTATTAATAGTTGTCTACGCAAAATACTTCGGATCCGTTGGTCAGACACTATTAGCAACAACCTACTGTGGGAGAGAACAAATCAGATCTCAGTGGAACAACAATCGGATAGATCTGGAAAGAAGGCCCAGAACAGAGTGGGTTGGAGAATATTGGTCGGCGGCCTATGCTCCATTAGGAGTAACAGGCGTAAGTAAGTAACTAGTAACTGTTAGACCTACACAATTGTTTATTCATTATTCCAGTCAATGATAAATAATCAACACATAGGGTCTCTTAACATTAGATCTACTGTGTTACTTTAGCTAATATTAGCTATAACCATATTAATTATTGATAAAATGAAAATAATATGTTAGCAGGGATTATGGTTCGAAAAATCCAAATAAAAATGTATATATAAACCAATACTGGAACTCATAGTGATTTAGATTAATTAATTTGAATACATGAACATTGATACGAGAAGGCATCAAATAGATATGCGCTATATAAATTATTTGATTTGTATGATGGCTAAGATACTGCCTAGGTGTCTAAATTAAAGTAGGTGGTTGTCTTTGAGGGCCACATCCCGAATCTTTGAACTAGAGGTTTAAACAACAAAGCAGTGAAGCAACTTTAATGGATGCAGTAACATGGTAACCAGTCATTAACGATTGGTTCATACGTCATTTGTTTCTTCAGTTTCCTGGAATTCATGTGAGCCATCGGTTTGGAATCAGGGTTTTGTAATTGTCCTATGTGGACTCTCCGTTACCACTAACCCGGTTAAATTGTCAAACATTCGCTTTTCGTTCTCTTAATTTCGTTAACAATAGTAATGCCATGAGAAGACAGTGAGCAGGTCTTCTCTGTCAGTTGTTGTATGCACGTGGTCATTTGAGAGCGTTTTAAAAGGGAGAGCTGACTGTTTCCACTCAGCCGTATCAAGATATTTGGGGACATTCTTCAATAAGTTATGTTCATATGAATAACAACTCACTTATTACATTAAATTGTGAATACATATGCCCAACCGCCGACTGTCCCAACGTGCGATGTTTTATGGTGTAGGAGTAGGTTGGAAGAAGGCTAGGTGCTATCAGAGCAAAACATGGCACAAATCTATGAAGTCACTGACAATTGGACTGAGCCATGTTGGTAGGTAGTAGACTACCTGGTTGTGATCCATGAGATGATAGCAACCGATGGTTAGAGACCTTGAATGACACATGGCTCAAAACTGTTTGCAATGGTACAGGTACATCCACTCTTCGTGTTCTCCCGAATTCGAATCTCCTGAGTTCTACTTGTCTCTTTTTTCTTCTCTTTCCAAATTTATTTCACTGGATGATGCTCCTTGAATAACATCTTCGAACTCGAATGTTTCTGATTAGTGCTTATACTCTTATTACCTCTACCACAATGGTATTTGAATGGACAATTGTATCTGTGTGCTAATGCTTGTATGGCAAGTTGAACTGATGTAGGTACGTACGAAGTTCTACGTTGTTGTTGACTGGATAATCTAGTTTCCTCTATGGAATATAGATGTTATATTTTACTTCCAGAGATCCAGAGAGAGAGAGAGATCTGTGGAATAACATCACGTTTTCTTTCAAAAACGTCAGTAATCATAAATTAACTGTTTTGCTTAAAGGTTTTATACTAAATAGAATACATCTTGATAAGATTATCGGTTCATGAACTTGATCATCGATAACTGTTATGTATTGTAATAAAATCAAGATTTAATGTGGCGTTTGAACATCTACTCCAAAAGGAATTGTTGACTGAAACCAATTATGGACGAGATTATAATTTATGGATGAACCAATTGGGTAACAGTTCTCAGATTTTGGCGCGAAATTCATTCATTCACTAGGCATTTTACCTGATATCAGTTCGTGATAAAAACCATAAATTTAATTCCTAACCCTTAACTATCCACTGTAAATTCTAATTCCTCATACACTGGTTTATAACTGTCATTTGATCCTAGTTATTAGGTGGATACTCTCTAGGTCATCCTAGCGTCGCTCAACGATCGTTCATAAATTATACCCTCACCGGATTTGGACATTATGATATATATTTCTATGTTTCATAGTCAGTAGTATGTTCTACCCGAAAAGGCTTCAAAATTCAGTAGAGTAGGTAATCTCTGATAAGGATAATCTGTAGACATACTGACTGTAAATCAAATTTATGACACTTTCAATAAAGTACCTTTGGATTGTATTTTTTCTTTGTACATTCTAGTAAATACAAAATGACAACTTAATCGATAGGATTCGATCTGTACGAAGGAGAACATGACATTAATCACTATCCAGTGATCAATCAATTGTAAGTACATGTCCGTGATACAGGAGATCATTCGCCGCCCGGTAACGTCTTTGACTGTGATGCTAGGTGACACGAGATTGAATACGTCAATGAGTATCGTTCCCTTCAAGATAACAGGTGTACCTTGCTGACGGGTGCCAAGTAGCACCTATCTTCAACTATCATCCTATCTTAACATAGTGCACACAATATTGTATCACCTAGACTAGTGGCCACATTGCAACTTGGTCGGTAGCAATCGATCTGTACTAAGAAGAACCTTACATACATGACATTAATCATCACCTAGTGATCAATCAATTGTAGACATCCAGTTTCATTAAGCCAAATGTCAAAATCTCTCACCGTAAAATAGACCTTATTATCAGTTATTAGCATGTTAGGCATTATTTTACGACTAAATATCTTCTTTACTACTTTTCAAGTATACTTTCCATTAGGAATTTCTGTAAGTGCCACTACTGACCATCTGGAATATAAGTCGATCATAACTAGAACATATTAGTTTAAAAATAGACTAACGTAATCAGTATGAATATGTTTCCATGATTTCAATTTAAATAGAATGAAAGCTTGTAGAGATTGTAATAATTTAAATAGTTAAATTCATGAGTCTATCTAAGGTAGATCACCAATGAAAACCTGGAAACACTGGATGACCGTTTCGTTCTAGTATAAGAAAATCCCCATTCTAATAATAATAATGTGCTGACTAGTGAATAGTTTAGAGATAGATTTCCTGGGGTTCTATTGAGAAGTCGTGATCAGTGAAGCTTGATCCTTGTCTGATGGAGACAGTTATTCACTTCAGACAATGAATGAAGAGTTCCACA